TGTTTTTCTATGCCAAGGGTAAATGAAAAAGATTCGTGGAGATCCATTTTAATTCTCACATCCCATTTCTGTATAATTCGTGTGAATTAAATCCTCATTTGCTATACCCTCACGCCGGTTTATCGTCTGAATATCTAAAAATATTAATGAATATTTTGCAAATTAATTGGCTGATGTCTCGACATTTTTTCAAAAAATTTGAATATTCAAAAGGAATGAGCAATCTCCACACTGGAGAGATTAGATACCAATATATTACTAATAAGCTCAACACGACGCATATAAATGACACTGGTTTTACAGATATAGATTCTATATTTTCTCATATATTGTGAAAGCTTTTTTAGTATAATGATAAAAATTCTTCGTCATTAGTTTTATGTTTTTTAACATGACAATTACCAATTTGAACATTGCTAGTAGAGAGCGCTAATTTGACAATATAATTTAGACAAATCGAAGCATATTTTTTTATCTATCCACTTATGAATCAAATGTGATTAAAATCTTACACAATGTTCAACTCTTCTTGGAAAACTTGAGGCCGTCTAATTTAAAATGATGTTGGCAAGGATCATGGCACATTCTTTTCCATTTTGGGTTGCCCTAAATAATGTATACGTGCCCTAATTTGTTGCTGGGTTTAAGGGAATAAATGTAGTCTTTTACAAAGCGGTATCATAGTTTGAAATCGAGTCCCTGATTATTCAGTAGTTTTCCCATGTTGAGGAATAGCTTGTTCAATTCTGCTGATTATTTCCATATCAGCAGCATTCAAGTCTTCAGTTATCCAGCAACCGAAGTACTCGAATTTCAGTTAAATAGGTTATCATACACGAGTATGTTTGTGGGTGTATTTGGCCTTTTAGTCACAATCGTTGCCTTGGTCATGTCGATGTTAATTTTAAGCGATAATTTGTCTCCTTCGGCTGTTATTCTATTGACCAATCATTGGTTTCTAGTGTTTCTAAACTATCGGCAATTATAACAGTGTCATCCGCAGAGCGTAGGTTGTGGATTACTCGACCATTTATCTTACTACCGTCATTTATCTTTTTTTAATAATATCAAAGTGAAAAGTGTCGAAGTATCTTCCTATGCCGGTTATAACTCAAAAATAATTGCCACTATTTTCTCATGAAAATTTTATTAAAAACTTTTTTATACAGTCGCTTACCTCGCTTAATTGGCCACCCTGTACACTAGCGTCCCTTAGGTCACTTTCATATACGCGAAATATCGCCCTACTTCTTATACAATCAGAGAATTTTCTTCTTTCGACGCTCTTATCGAAAACATTTAAGGATTCATTTGTCACAAACCAAACTTTCGGAAACTGGAGTTTTATTCCAAAGAGCCGGATGGTGTCATCTATTAAACGAAAGGAAAGTTTTGGTACTTAATTTGATGAACCACATTTTTTGTACCCCTCGAAGAGAAAAACGGAAAAGTTTTATGAAGACTGAAAAATGTCAGTATCTGAAGTTATCGTTTTCATCCGAGAAGTAACCCACTTTTATATAGGCTAAGAGAAAATCTGTATTCTTAAAAGTTTTGCTCCAGTTATATGCCTGACGGATTGCTAAAGTGACAAGCTCAATTATTTTCATTTTTAGTGAAGTCTGTCTATGCTAGCATTATATTTCAAAGCTTTATGGATATTGTACTCGTAAGTGTAATTAGACGAGCAGAATTTTTGCGTTAGTTTGAGCAGTTCAGTCTGAAAAGAGGTTATGCGAAAGAACCGCTCAACGCAAAATATCGCTGTATAACTTCAAAGTTCGTTGCTGGTCCCCTGTGGGTTTACTTTTTAAAGTTAACAACATAAAACTAAAGGTTGATTTGTGATTGTTTTGTACCAGAGATAAATTATTCACCATAAAGCTCAAACGATTATTTTTCAAGTAGATGTTTAGCTCGGTATTTATTGTTCTATAAACACAAGTGAGTACAATCGGGAAAATAAGATTATTTTACCCACATACATGCATACATTAAGTCTCGGTGCATACATAAATCAGTAACTAATTGAATATGGGACAATTGGTTTCAAGGAAACTGACTGGAAAAGAGCTGAGGTTTTAATGCCACGAATAATCCACAAGTTGTTTTTTTATTTTTCAGATGGTCTCTCAAAAGGACGCACTAGTTTTTATTCCATATTTTTCAATCTTAGTAATTAATTTGGTGTGGTATATAGTGTTGAAAGCTCTCGTGGATCTTCGAGAATGCAGGAAGCTTCCTTGTCGTTGTTGCCTTATAGATTTATAAACTAATAGTCTAATTTCATTCAAATTTAATCAATCAGAAATTAACTATGATACTTATTTTGTTGTTTCGGTCCTAATTTCGTCCAGTCTCGGAGATTCTTTTCTTTTAATTCCCGAATAATATTGTCTACACCTTTTTTCTCTAAAAATGCGTATCTGCACGAAAGCATGTCAGAATTATCCTATAAATTCCCTCAGGGTTCCATTTTGGAACCTCTGTTATTCTCTATTTGTCTATCGCAATTCTCAAAAGTCTTCTTATGGTGTCTACATCATTATTATGTAGACGATACTCAGATACAGCAATCATTTTAGTTCGATGTGATCAATCAGGCTATTTCTGGGTTAAACTACTGCATTTAAAGGCCCACAGTATTTTTTAAAAATCGTTTAATTTTAATAAGAATCGTAAAATTTTGATAAACCTAAAAAATAGACTTGTTAATTAGTTCAAGTAATTGAGTGATGGCATATTGTGATCGTAAGTACAGTTTACAGAAATTAAATTATTTTTGTGTATGCCTGATATCTGCCATTTTCAAATTTCAAAACACTGTAGTTTAAAACAAGTGTATATTTCCTTATGTCGGATACTAGGTTTAATGTAAAAACAGTCAATATTAATTTATTGTTATTATTATTATCAATATTATTATTATTATTATTATTATTATTAATATTATGCTCTTTCTAACCTATCTATGGAACATATTTCTATTTTTCTGCCCCAAGTCCGACAAATTTCGGAAAAGAAATTGCTGAAACGGTTGGATATCTTATGTTTCTTGGTATTTAGGAACTGTGTTTTTGTATTTTTTCAAAACTGCTTTTGGATTTAATTTTTTTTTTGGTATATATCATTCATACATCTCCATACATCACCTTCAGCTTTTCGGCGTATTGCTTTATACATTTTTAAATACAATGCAATTGTTTTACAAACACAGACAAACATTTTAAACAATTTTGGAATGTAGGTGCTGCCATGTATTTCTCCAAAGAGTAAAAGATCAAGTAGAGGTATGCAATATCAGTGGCAAGCACATTTGTTTGTTTTTGTGTGTTTCAGTGCCGTGAACTTATGGAAGTTGAAGAGGCCATTGTTCTTGTTAAGGAAGGCCGAAACGAACGGTACGTGGCAAACTTGCTGAATGTCCAGCAAAGTATCATCCCTAGAGTTATAAATCGGTCCAGAGAGACAGGACAGTCCACTAGCAGGGCATGGTTACTACCGCATGAGATCTGGTGCTGATGATCGTATTTTACGTATTACAGCTTTAAGACAGCAAGAAGCACTGACTTAAATCCGATTGAGCATGTCTGAGACCATAGGGTATGGCAGATTCGGCAATATAGAAGACCATTTCGATCTATATACCAAAAAATTATTTCTCAAAAAACGGTTAGATTATCGAAAAAATTATAGGATCAAAAGATACGTAAGATCCAGTGCTATAAATCTTTGTTCTCGATAATTGAAATTTGGGTTCCTTTTTTCATGAAAGTTTGCTATAACTAGAAGACCGGCAATAACTAGATATAGCCTGTTGAGGGCCCTAAAACATTTATAGTTAAGGTATTCCGTGCTATAAAAGAAAGTTATTAGGCTATCGACTTCAGATTTGGCAGTAAAGTAGGAGTGCATACCCACAAGTATTTTTGAAAAATGTTTTGGGTTATTTTGGGAAAAACTATTAAGCCGATCGGCAAAATTTTTGAACCAGAAAACGCAGGAGATCGGTAGTTATAGTTATATAAATTGTCGGTAACGTATCAATCCATTTTTCATATATATTCCGCGGACTGAAAAGCCGAATAAATCTCCAATTCAAAAACCAACAAATACAAAGTATACACTAGTAGTCTCCGACGACTACCCTCTATAAACTTTTTCGAAAATTGGCGATGCTCAAAATTTTCCTTGACAAACGATCGTAATTTTTTTTTTTAAAAAGATGTTTTAGTTTTGGTTAGTTATTCATGTGGGAAGGTTGAAATTTTGATGGAAAACGGAAGTCTATGAAGACTCTCTGACCGTAGGACACTGCGTTTAATTTTAATTAATTAAAATTTCGGTAGTTTTAAATAAACAGTAACTGAAGGCAAACGATGGACTACTGCTATCGACTTTTTAGTATGGTTGGATAGAAGAAGGACCAAGTACTACTGTATAAATAAAGCAGATATAAAATTTAAAAAAATTACTATCAAACACTGAGCTGTTATTCAACCGCAAATGTGATTTCGAGGTAAATTTTTAAAACATACTTGGGGAAGCAGAAGTTTTGCATCGGAGGTATATCGGGGACGAAGAATCTGTGTTCCATATTATTTTTCTCCAGTATCAACAAATAGCCTATTATGTATCAATAAAATCATGTGCTGTACCTATGGTATCCGAGATATGTGAAAATATATCGTTGTAACTCGGTATTACTTATGCAAATTTTTACATTTATCAAAATTCGACATGACGCTAAGCCACGCAATGGCACATTATACAGGGTACTTTCACAATATTATTACAGTTATTTTGCGAAAATTCCGTACTGGTCCGCGCAGCAACTAGGTTAACGATACAATATTCTTTTTTGTATAGATTCTTGCTTATTACATTTCAAACTGTTCAACAATATATACATTACTACATAAAAAAATACAAAACATATTTTTTTAATTACATGTGTGTATTCGAATTAGAAATAGCTTACATTCTTCTCTTCTTTGCAGGTACATACGGAAACTAGTGAGCTTCACAAGACGGCCGTTTTCGAAATCAAAGCCAACGGTGCAACTATAGTGATGAATGCTTCGTTAAATGCAACGGAATCCGCTTTCATTCCGGAACTTTTTTATCGGCATTCGGCAGCCATGACAATTATTTATTGTGTCGCATATCTTTTGGTGTTCGCTGTCGGTTTGGTTGGAAACTTTTTCGTTATAGCTGTGGTGTTTCGATCACCGCGCATGCGGACGGTCACAAACTTTTTCATTGTGAACTTAGCCGTTGCTGACATTTTAGTGATAGTTTTTTGCTTGCCGGCTACGCTGATGTCCAATATATTTGTCCGTAAGTACCTAGACTTTCGAATGCTTGAATGTTATTTTTCCGGAAAAAAAATTTCGGTTAATTTGTCATTTTTATAAGTTTATTTATGAAAATACATTTTTTGTCATCGGATACACCATAAATAGAAAATTATTATTAAAAGACGCGAACAGAAATAAAAAGGTAATAATCCAAAAATAATATTATTTTTTATTAGTTGTATTAGGCTAATTACAATCAAAATGTGAAAATTCTGCACATTCTAAACATATAAAATTTTTTAGTTGACAAAAAACAACCGTCAGCCCTTTTCTTCTAGTTCTCGTCACATTATAGGCTTCGCAGAGTTTGTCTACTCTATTTACTTCTCCTTTTGCGGACTTATAGGAAGTTATAATTTCTGGTATGCATTTATCCCCCGTGTCCATATCAATACCATCGCCATCGTGCACAGTTGCAACTGCAACAATAGATTTATCCTCTAACGGAATATATGAGATTAACACCATATATCCTGGATACTGATAGTGCATCCGAATTTTTGGCACTTTTAAATTCATTTGACCGGCCTTTTCAATTCTTGCAAACAGACCTTAATATTAAGATTTCCAGTTGTCGCATGTAATGTTACGACCAGTGCCTGATATAGGAGATAGGAGTCGTTCCATAATACTCAGTTAATTATTCAAGCAGTTTGATGCTGCACTGCGTACATTTCCAAACTTGATCAACTAGGGCAAACATTTTTGTGTCATTATTGGGTTTTTTGGTAAATATTCTTCTTCTGAATGCTAATTGTTATTTAAATTTATAGTACAGAAAATTTTGCAGTTGCTTGCAAACATTTCACCCACTTAACACAGTTGTGTTAAGCGGCATATTATTTTTGTTTTTTTTTATTTATCTCACCCACTTAACACAACTGTGATGATGGACACTTAACTGTCATATGGACACTTAGCACAACTGTGTTAAGTGGGTGTGATAAATAAAAAAAAACAAAAATAATATGCCGCTGGAATCTTCTGGAACTGACGCTCGCTCAGTCCATTGTATTTTTTTCTTGCACATTTTTTGCAGTAAACAGAAAATATACAGGGTGCGTCAGAAGATACATGCCGATACCAAGTTCTTTTTTCTTAATGGAACACCATTTTCAAATTCCGCGTCATATTTCATGCTCAATGTAGTACACCCTATACCTATCTCCTACCTTTAATGAGCAAGCGAATAAAGAACAGAAATTTATGAAATTGAAAAATTTCTTAAATTTTCACAATTATATTTCTGTCATTAAGGAAATTGAATATGGCGCATTTAAATGAAACTCAGAGAATTAAAATTTTAATTTCTATTTGATATGGAGACGAAACGACACTTCAAGAAGAACTTTGTAATTTGTGCGACACAAAATATTGAGAATGACCCATTGTAAGATTCACAGCGAGTGAAGTTACAAAGATGAACTTTTTGACAATGTGGTAATCTAAAACATTACCCGGAATATTTTCATTAATTTGCCTTATTTCGTATCCAATTCAAAATTTTTAATTTTGCGGTCTCAGTTGGAAAAAAATTGGTTCATTTGAATTCAGAAAAGAAACTGGAACAATAGGAATTAAGTCATCTGTGGAAGAAAAAATGTACATTTTCCTCATTCTTACTTTTCTTCTTTTAATACACGCCACAACATTATGTCAAGTAACTTCAGAAGATGCATGATAGGGATTATTCTCAACGTCTAATAAAATTCTGTGTTCTCATCAGTTTTTGAACGACTTGATTGAAAAAGATCTTTTCCATGCCCCATTTCTATAAATTTTCTCTCACTGTGGACCGTGCAAAGGGTCCATGTGTCATAGAAATTAAAATTTTAATTCTCTGGGTTTAATTTACATGCCCCAAATTCACATGACAGACATGTAATTGTGACAATTTAACAACTTTACTGGTACAAGCCACTTACCTGTTCAGTTCAGAATAAATGTTCTTTTTTGTTTTCATTCTTTTGCTCATAAAAGGCAAGAAATCTAGGGTAAGCTACATAATTTAACATAGACTTCGAAAATGGATTTAAAATATGATATTCTATTTAAAAAAAAAGAGAACTTAGTATCAACATCGACTTTTTTAGCCACCCTGTATATTTTATTTACCCCAAGAAATGGGCAAGAATTTTTCTTGACATTCACTACGTGATTTTTAAACGAATTTGTTCAATATTTTTGCCGTTCACTCTATGTGTACAGTGAAATTCGTTGGAATTGCGGTATGTCTCGGTTATGAGTAAAACTAGAGCCTTGCTGTTTTGTTTTTTTGTGAAACATAAGATGCCGTAAACAGATTCTTTTATTCCATTGCGTTTCTGGGCTACAAGCTGATTTTCAAAATTTCGCAATTTGTGATACCCCTCGTATATCTGTTAATATTCAAGCTATCGAAAAAATAAAAATACTTCTATATAGATCTTTTACTTAGACTCCAATGGATTTGCTAGTTTCGGCAATCTTTTTTTTTTATTTTTTGAATTATCACCTAAAGTTTTGTATTTTTAAATCGGACACCCCGTATAATTTTACGTCATTTTATTGCATCTGCCACAAGCTTTTAGTTGTTAAAGTGCAAGTTTTAATCTAATTTATTATTTTAAAGACTTGGCTCTGAACGAAACAAAAAAAATGCTTTGTCTGTCTAGTTATCAATGTTACAAAAATGACTGAATATTACTTCGGCAATTTTAGTAAGACATTTAATTTGTTAATTAAGTTGTTCTAAATATCTGTCAACGAAGAGTTTCAAAATTTTCAAACATATGACATGCTGTGTTGTTTTCTGCTGTGTAGTGAAAATACGGATGAAGCATATAAACTGTATTTACACAGATATAATGGATAATAAAGTATGATTTACTTCTAAGTAACTTTTACATATGTTATATGTATGTATCCAGAACGAAGACAATCCAATAGAATAATATTTAGTAGGTGTAAAACCAACCTAATTAATTTTAGTTCTTTTCGCATTTATCTGCCAAAAACGTATAATAAACCGTATCGAGAAATTAGTAAAATTATTTTTTTGGCGAAAAAATCCAAAATCTACGATATAAGAAATTTTAAAAAAGGACAAGTTTATACCTTATAAATTAAAGTTAGTTCATAATTTGCATCTCGGGGAGCAACAACGAAGAATATAATTTTGTCATTGTTATTTACAGAATAATAACATAACAAATATGATATTCCTGACCTTTTAAATAATCCTAACGAAATTAATAACAATTTCATTATGAACTGCGGTAGTAAATATCCACTTAATAAGAATTTACTAAATTTTTACAATCAAAGTACAAGAAAAAGTTTAATAGATTGCTTGTTTTTTTTTCACAATATTCTTTTTTCACACATATTCTAGAAATTGAATTTCTTGCGATGGGTGTGTATAAATTGAACTTGGAAATGATACTTCTGTGCTTTGATGGAATACTTCCTTTTATCACGAACGTAATCAATAGCTGCATTATCGAATCCGCATTTTTTAAGACTTGGAAAATTTCTAAGGTCATTCCATTACCTAAATCAAAGAGTATCATCATAACAATGGACGAATTAAGACCGATAAGCATCTTACCCGTATTTTCAAAGTTTCTGTTCTGGAAAAACAACAAATTAATGATTATTTAGATATTCACCAGTTACTTCCCTCCTTGCAGTCAGGATTTCGAAAAGGGTGCAACTGCATTCAGCACCAGTGGCGTGCAGTACAATGTATTGCGGGGTAGGCAAAAGGAAAAAAAATAGCGCCGCAGGCGAAAAATTTTTAGGGTTCCACGCCCTAATTATGTTTTCCCATCAATGACATAAAAAATAGAGCGTATAGTAGGCAACAGAACCAAAAAAACGAAAAACTCAAAAGAAACACATGTATTATGTACAATGTACGTGGATATATTACAAAATTTACTTAACATATTTTAACTTTAAACTCGAACAAAATAAAAATCAAATAACAGCAAATAAATTTATTATTTATAGATTAATTCAAAACAGCGATTTTTTTTCAAAAACTCTTTCAATACGTCATCCGTCATCATAAAAGTTTGTGGTCCATTTTAATTCTTAGTTCTGTAATAACATCGGCATTGGCAATAACGCATGCGGCCGGCCACAGTATCGCAGTGCATCCGACGGATCGGACGGTCCCGACTGCTTTCGTGTGTTCATTGCTTGCAGCAACGCACTGCTTTTGCTTGCCCATTTAAATGTAAGCTTCGGCCATACGTTCGACTTCGAATAATGGGATGCGTTTTTTAGGTAATAATAAGACGTTGAACAGGTGGCGTTTGTTTTGTATGATGTTTCCGGCTTTGCAACCGTAATAAAGACTATACTAACTTACTATTTAGAAAAAAAAAAATATGTAGGTCGTTTTAAATAGGTATGTCGTACGTAATGAATGAGCGTTTTTTGATAAATAGATTTTCAATTTATGTTTGTCTTGAATAAACGAAAGGGTAGGCAATGCTTTTTTGCCTATATGTAACGCATGCCACTGCTCCGCACTATTAAATATAACAGAGTGTAATGTAAGCAAGACAACTGCACTTATTTTGTTAGATTACTCAAAAGCTTTCGACAAAATCAATCATGAAGTTCTACTGTCAATACTGCACTATTTGGGTTTTTCAAGTGCTGCAGTCTCTTCACTGACCGCTTTCAGTTTGTTACATCTAAAGGAGAGTCAAGTAATATTACTATTCCATGTGAAGTACCCAAAGGCTCAATATTAGGGCATCTTCTTTTTAATTGCAATTTGAGTAGTTGTTTACGGGACTGCAAAATTTTCACCAGGCTATCCAAATTATAGACAAGGATATTAATCGCATTGAAGAGTTGAAATTCGGTACTAAACTTTGATGGCGATTTGCGTTTCAAGCCCCACGGAAATAAGTGCATTCCAAAAGGCCATATGAGTTTAAAAAACATTTATCCCAGTCGTCACCTTTTAAAAACCAACCTTAA